GTGAACGTTTTCCTGGCATTTGTGTTTCCGATGCTGGCCATCTCAGCGCTCAACTCGGCCATCGTCAGGCAGCTGATGCGCCTGGTGGACAAGCCGGCGCCGGAGCCCGACATTGGGCAGGAGCAGGGCTGTGTGGCGCGTCCGCGTGGCGACCAGGGCGGGGGCCTGCAAGCGTGTCGCCACGCCACGGCCTTGAATCTCGGGAGGCGCCTCTGTTCCAACGGCGGAGTGGAGGCTGCCAGAGTTCACGCCCTGTGCAACAGCGTGAAAGTCCTGCGTGCGTCTCGCAAGACACTTGCTCCAAGCCTTGTCATGCATCTCTTCACGTAGCTCTTCAGAGAGGTCCTCGCGTTGCACCGCCGATTGTGTTGTTTGCCAACGAGGTCCGATATATCGCTTCAAGTCCTGCGGCGCTTATTCTGGAACTGCATTGTTTGGCACGTGCTGGGTGGTAGCTTCTTCCAATTGAATCCCTTGAGAAGCTCTTGGCGAATGGAGTGAAATATGAGACAGTGGCGGCTGGTCTGTACGGGGCATTGGGGCAGTGACCCACGTAATAAAAATGCTTTAAAAAAACTAAATTTCTAAAAGGATAGAAACAAATCATGGCCCTTCTTCATAGCACATCAATGGGATGGCGCATCGGGATCTACGGATGAAAATGTGCCTTTCAAATATAAAATTATGATTATTGGCCAAATTTTTTATATTTTTTGTCTTGTTATTGACGAATATATTGAGTTTTTTTTTTTTTATATGTGCTTGTGTACCACTGCCATTGCAGGGTCTCCTCCAACACTTGCCCATAGCCACACACAGGAGCAATCTCCTAGAGGCAAACTCAGGGTCTCTCCAACCAATTTAAAGCCGTCCTCCTCCCTCTCCCATACATTTTACGAATGTAAAAACATGCGGGAACCTTTAAACTGCACTGTGCTCATCAACAACATCCCTCTTTACCACTCAGTGGCGGTGACGTCAACACAGCGCTAATGCCATACTAGATGCATGTTGAGGCCACGTGACGTGTTGAAGGCTCACTGGCAGGTCACAGAACAGAGCCAGGTGCCATGGGTTAACTGACTGACATGACTGGCAGATACGCCAACTGTCCTGCCCACTGTGCCAACTTGTTGCGTTTTAGCAACCCGGCACTTTGCTCGTTGTTGTGAGCGTCACTCCTCTGCCCTACGTTGTTTCTGGAGGGCGACTGCCTCCAACTACCCGGTAGCATCCTTCACGAACCTCCACAGAGGCTCATCTTGACACCGCTGGTGTCAGCCTTTGGCAAGTCCAATCATCTCCTTACCCTTCTGTACCAGTCCATCTAACCCATTCCGTGCCAATTTAGCCCCAACTATCCAGCCAAACAGAAGCTGCTTGGGCATGTCATTGCTTCGCTTGCCGGAAGAGCTAACTGATGGGAAAGTGTCCAGATATTTTACGAATCTGTGAGCTCCCCACACAATCCAGTCTGGTTAAACCCATAATGGATGGTAGGCAGGCAAAACCTGAATGTTTCAATCCAGTGCAGATGTTCCTTTTGAGGGCTCCACGTTTCGCCAGCAATAAAAAAGGGGAGGATATGATTGACCAAGAAGACCCAGAGCTTCGTATGGAGTGATAGATCAGGTAGTTTCCACACAGCGTTATGCAGCTGATGAAAAGAAAATGCCGCTTGACTAATTCGGAGTGAGACCACTGCCTTAGTACACAAACTTCTCCACTCTCTCCACAACTGCCCAACACTTATGGGGAGTGGGGAGAGGAGAGCATTCGACATAAAATACCCAGACAGGTGCTTTGTTTTTGTGTGGCTGATAGTTAGGCTCCATTTCTTCGTAGCATGCTCCACGTACAGCAGTAGCATTTCCAACTAATCAAAGTGGACAGAAATCACCAGATCATTTGCATACGTAACATGGTTGACCAATAGGGAGCCATCCCTTGACCACACCCGGACATCAATCAGCCTCCCATTGTATCGGTACCAGATGGGAATTCCACCAGTACATTAATGGAAAGCAGTTTCGAACTACGTGGTTAAAGAAGATGTTGAATCGTGTAGGGGCGAGAGGACATCCCAGTCGCACCCTTAGGCCAGGGGCGGTTTCTTCATTAGGGCGATTGGGCGACGCACCACCAATGTCATTCAACCACAGAGTCACGCTCGCCGTCACTGCAGCCTCTGGATATAGTCCAATCAGCGTCATGCTACGTTCTGTGGAGTACCGCCTCTTTTTGGGCGATTTCACTCCGGCTGAGAATCGCCCCGAGTGGCCCCATAGACTTACATTCAAAGATGTTTTTTTTCGACCGGGGGGCGCTGCAATGCATTCTCTATGGCTTCTGGGAGGGCTCGCCCTAACGTGCTTACGTCATCATACGTGCTTACATCATCATACGTAAGCACGTTTCATCCAACAATATAATTTGTGGCCACCTAATGGAATCTTTAATAAAAGAAACTTGAGTGGTTTGTTTTAATAGTGAAACAAACAAAATGTATTGTAAGAGTCACTTTATTTTTCATTAATATTAAAGAAGTGAAGTTGCCTTTACATGCTTAAGCTGTTAATTTATCCATTGCATGGGTGGACCTTATCCTTATCAATCATCCAGACATTTGCCCCCCCTGAGAGATTTTGCAGGAGCCGCCACTGCCTTAGGCACTCATCAGTCACAGACAAAGATTCCACAAACACCTATGAAAGCCGGAACGGCACATTAGGGGAGAGGAGGGGGGGGGATCAGCACCACGCCGCTTTTGTCTCCCACGTGACGACATTTGCACATCGCATCAAGTACTCATTTCAGTGCCTGACCTCTGTTAGGTCGAGTCACACACACACAACAACAACCGCCATTCGCCACTAAGTGGCGGTGACGTCACCACGACGCTTGTGCCAGGCCATGTGCACCTTGAGGCCACGTGAAGTGTCGAACGCCCGCTGGCAGGAGGTCACGGGGCAGACCCAGGTGCCACGGTTGGACTGACTGAGATGACCGAGATGACTGGCTGATGCACCACCTGTGCCCCCTACTGTGCCAACTTGCTGTGCTTTAGCCACCCCGGCGCTCCGCTCGTTGTTGTGAGTGTCGTCCTCCGCCCTCCGTTGTTGCTGGAGGGCGACTGCCTACAACTGCCCAGACACACACATACACTGGCACTCACACACACACACCACACCGCTCTCTCACACACACACCGGCACTCACACATACAAGGCTCAGATTGTTTGTATGAGACATTGACATAACCAGCCATGATTAATCCACTGCTGGGTGAAGGCCTCCTCTTTTCACAATCCTGCGATATAATAATCCACCAAGCACCGGCACATTAACTTGGTTAATCGCTCCATCTCTTTTGTTTTTGTCCTCTTCCACGCATCCCATGCCTTGGATGGCATTCTGTTATTGTATTTGACCATCGATCATCATCCCAAGCCACGTGTCTAACACACGGATTAAACACTGGCTTCTTTAGGCACATTGGTGTGCATTTAATTCTCAAGTTCAGCTGTCCCAAGGCACTCCAACCAGCTCTCGTTCAACTCTTCATTTCATCGTTTTGATTGCAGTCGGCCTTCAATAGCTATCGCAGGTACACGCAGCACACATACTTTGCTGTGTAATCGAGTTGTTAACAAAAAAATTAGATAAATTTACAGGCTTTCGTCAGTCCACTGCTGGTGTCGGAGGGGGGGGGGAGGGGTGGTGCTTGACCATTATCCACCGCGGCTGATCAGTGTGCGTTGGTGAAGGGGTGGGTGGGTGGTGGCGTTCAGAATCAGTTCGGAAATATTCCTCGCAACGCGCCCACCCGCCCCCGTTGCCACTGATGTGAGCTGACAATTTGAGAGCTCGGCAGCACAATCGTGACAACCCTACCCAAAGGTGCCGCGTCTACCCGCTGGCACGTGGGGTCTGCAGTGTTAGCGAGAACGCGAGGGTACATTTTGATGGTGATGATAGTGCGGCACGGTGAGCATGCTGTATTCCCCCATCGGCTGAATTGAAATTGTCAGTCAGGTAATAGAGCAATCATTCCATCCTTGACTATTTTTGATAATTATTAGTTTGTTGTTTTTCTTGCGTGTATTTACGCGGTTGCTGAGCACAGGCCACAAGGCAGAGACGGGTTCAGTGTGCGATAATGGCCAGCACAATTTAATGCACGGATTGCCCTACGAGAAGCCATTGTAATGTTTCTCAACTGTTTACAAAATTAATTCGAGTATAAAATGGAACGCTTTCAACCCATTTCATTTAAATACAGAACTAAATAAGTTTTTTTTTATTATATCACGTAACATCCATAATATTCTGAATACTCTCTTTCTATTTTGTATTATTTGATAGTTTGTATAATATTTTGTTTAATGCATGGCTGTAGTAGCTGTAGGGAATGCCATCGTGTCACCGCTCCTGCTACGACAGAACCTCCACGGCTTCGTTTTGATTGATGTTGTAATTAACTTCATTTTCTACTCTTTGGTTCTTTCGGTAAAGTCATGTAGTGAGAAATAAAAGAAAATAATTATTGTTACCTACGTGACTTTACCGAAAGAACCAAAGAGTATGGATTCCTGCAGTCACGAAAGCTTCAAATCAAGATTATTAATTTTGTATTTTACAAAACGTATTTGATTTACAACAATTATTTATTCTCTAATTTCATTCGGCGGGCCCGGCGACTCCACCATCGCTTGTCTGCTCCATGGCCAGACTTCTCCATCACCACCACCACCAGACGACTCCACCCCGACCACCACCAGATGACTCCACCACTACCAAACGGCTCCACCACCACCACCAGACGGCCCCACCACCACCACCTGCGGGCAGCACCATTGTCATCGCCGGGCAGCTGACATCGCGACGTGGCTCCATCGCCAGGCAGCTCCATGGCCACCATCACTGGGCAGCTCTACTGCTGGGCAGTTTCGTCACCGGACAACTCCATCGCTATCACCAAGGCAGCTTCATTGCCATTACCGATGCAGCCATCATCCTCGCCACGGCACGCTGCCGCCAGTGCCGCATTATCCTCGTAGCACAAGTAGCTACAAATGCTACGGGCCCCCGCAACTTTCAAAGGCCCCGCGCTAAATGCTTTCAATCTTTCAATTCCGGTTCAGTGATGCTGCACTTGCTCTGTTACTATAGTACTATACTGCCTTCAACTTTTATGAACGACTGGGTGTTTAAGATTAGCGATTTGTCGTATAATCTGGCTGTATAGCAAATGAAAAATACAATTACTTTACTATGCAAAGTAAAAAATTTGTGTTTTAATATTTACGTGTTTTTTTTTTTGTTTAGGGCCCCTTTATAACATATACTACAGGCCCCGCACTAGCTTAATCCGGCACTGGCTGTTGCCAGGCAGCTCCATCGCCAGGCTGCGTCATTGCCATGAAGAGGCTGCACCATCATGAGGCAGCTCTCCCATCGCTTGTCGCTGGGCCGCTTAAATGTCCGTGTGCGACTTCATCGCCATCACTAGACCACTTCCATCGTCAATGCCAAGCGGCGCCATCGCCGATGCTGTGTCGCGTCTTCACCGCATGCCAAGCAGCGGTTTTGACTCAATGTAATGGCTGTTTATTCTTGATGTCCTGTTGAGTTTGCGTTTTAATGCTCAATCTTGTGACGTACCACTGTCGAGTACTTTTCGTTCCGTGGGTCTTCTCGGGAAGATTGCCTTACGTCCATCATGGGGCAAGTCGTAACAGGATTATTTTTCATCCTATAAACAAGACCCCTATCTTGGATTCACTTAGTTTTTGCTCTCATTTTTATGATGCCACTAAGATAGATCATTGCCCCTCGGGACCTTCCCAAATATATATTTTAAATGCACTCGATTCGCATTACTCAATGTGCGTTCCCGTCCAGTAATGCGTTGGCAGTAAATTAACTGATCAGCGATCACCGTCTTAGCTTCCTGTGTTTGACCAAGACCTGCCATAAGTCTCTTGACTGTTTTCCATTGAACGAGGTGACCCCATCCACTTTCAATTTTTTTTATTTGAAGCCTCGGTTATCTGGCTGGGGTTGTGGTTTGTTATTAATTCACGCTCAATCAGTGATATTCGTCCTTTGCCTCTACCGACTTTTCATGGATTTGAGCACCTGGCGTTGCACTGGAGACCTCGTTGTGCCTAGCCGATACTGTTCATGGCATTCTTATCACCCTCCAAAGTTGATCCCCGCACTACTTTCTGAATTTGATTGAGTTCCTCTCGGTGGTGGTGTGCTTATGCTGAGCACAGTTAGACATTTGGTGACTTCAACATGTGTCGATGCCTCACCTAAACCTCTTGCTCGGGATTTCGTGGCCGTATTCAACTCTTGGCTTCACTCAGCATGTTCAAATTCCCACTCACTCCGGTGGACACAATTTAAACCTGGTGTGTTCTCTTGGGCTATCAATAACTGAACTAACTAGCATGGACCCAGGAATGTCTGATCATTCACTGGTTCTCTTTTAAGTCCCTCTGACCACTCCAAGTCTGTCCGCTAAACACAGAATTGAATTGAATCACGCAAAATTGCATCCATTACCCCAACATCTCTTACAGAAGCCCTCTCCCGTTCTCCCCTCGCTCAGCTCAGGAGTGCCACATTGAGGAGGCTGATATACGGATATTTTATACTTATCTTCTGTCAAATATCCTTAATCGTCTGGCTCCCCACCAAACTTGCTGGATCTCCTCTAATCGGTCATCCCCAGGGTCCACTCGTGATCTAAGGGCACACAAATCCACTGTCCACAGAGCTGAACCTATATGCCTACTCCAACAAAATCTCAGTCGCTACATCATCATATATTGCTGGTCGCATTCTCTACCATCAGTCATCTTTTGCATGACGAGGAAAAACATTAAAAGTCTTTCCCATTGGGCAGTTTAAAATGTCCACTACCCAAACCAAATGAAATTCTGTCCTCCTGATTCCCCTTCTATTTGATCTGCCCGTCTCCCGGTTCGAGGGCCCTTTGTTGGCTAATTTCACCACTACCACAACTTCGGAACTCAGCTCTTGATTGCTGATTCCCGCCCTACCTGCTGCCCGTTGGATCTCTTCTCTAGACTCTTACGGGATAACGTTTCTGCATGCGGGTCATTTGTCATCGGTCTCTTCCAAAAAGTTTCTTGAGACTTGTACGGTTCACACCATTTTTACGATGGCTGCAGTCACCTCACTCTTTTAGAAACCGGACCTTGATCCTCAGCTTACCAACAACTCACGTCCGAGCTCTGTGTATTTCCTGCTTTCCATACACGGCGTATTGGGATCTACAGATGAAATGCGCCTTACGAATGTTAATTATTATTATGAACAGCTTTTTTTCCCTAAACAAAGATATAATTGGGTGCTAATGCCACTACTTAGGCAGGAATGCTGTTTGATGGAAATGTATATTACTGTAATGCATGTTGATCAGCATGTGCGAAATCAAATGCGGAAGATGTGTGTGATGCGGCAGAAGGCTTGCACTCGCATACGAATTTCTATTTATTTCTGCACAGCCCTAATTATTACTTCTTGTTCTCTCTCAAAAGGTGATGATGAAAATCATGAATGCACACGTGCATACCATCATACCTCGGTGTGCTGTCAAGGTCTAAATGCATGCAAATTTGTGGATGCAACTTGGGAAGTATGCTGTTCATTATATGTACCGACATGCAAATTTTGTTGTGCGAATCAAATTTATAAGCAGGCAATGGTGAGTGCAGTATTATAATGTTGTCTTGCAGACTATGGGTTAGGAATGTTATGCTCAACATATGTTCGGACTTCAACTACATGGGCACGTCTGCGTGCTCAAGTGATGAACGTGGCGGTTACAGACGTGTGTGTGTCTTTGTGTCTCTTGCGTACAGGTGCAATTGTGATTGCCTTTGTTGTATGCTGGCTGCCTTACCATTCCCGTCGTCTGATGTTCTGCTATGTACCAGACAGCGCTTGGCATCCGTGAGTATACAATTATGGCCACACCTGCTTACACCTCCACTTGTAAGTCACCACTTCAGCCACCACTGCCACTCGGGGCAGCCCAGGCATGAATTTATTTTGGAAATTGCACTGGCATTGGCCAAAATTTGGTGGCTGCCAACAGGTTCCCTGCACAAGGAATCTTCAGCAGTGAAAGGAGCAACTGTAGAGCCGTTTGACCTCGGATCAAGTACACTGGGGATTGATTACAAATTAATTGCTCAGGGTACACGATGGAGCACTCGTATTAGTGGAGTGAAACATTTTTTCCGACTATACCCGACCTACGCTTTCTTTCCAAAAACACCACTTGTCCGCGCTTTGTATTGTATTTCTCGTTAATCTGCTAAATTACACGCGTGGATCCAAGTAGTTTCACAAAATGTTATTGCGCTGATAATTATATATTGTTTAAAATAGAAATGCTATTTCGAGAAGCTTTGCAACATAACGCGTGCTCAGAATTGTGATGGGTTGCTTAACTACAGCTATTAGCTTATATTATGTAAGGCGTTCAGGTGAATATTAATGAAATAACACAATAAGCAAACAAAAGCTGTGCAGTGCTTAATGTTATATCTTACAGCATGTGGTGACATTGGCTGCTGTGCCTTGAAGGAAAGAGCCTTTAGCGCTATACAGCAGGCTCCTTTCATGTGTGAATGGCCACCTTAAAAGCCGCGCGTTGAGTGTTTTAAGGGCTCATGGAGATCTCGTACGAGGTGTCACCAGGGCGATGACTGACGCCTGCTGTAGTTTTCCCAGACAACAAAGAAAGCCCATTAGGCTCATCTTACCTTTAATACCAACAGTGATTGGACATTTATGACAAAGAGCTTCATATCTCATTGGTATCCTCCAGGATAAATAAAGATTCTTATTGTTCCAAGCTCATTCAAGCATCGCGTATTGCAATTATGTTGACCTCTATGTGCTGAACGCAAGAGCAGCATCGTTTTATGGGACCTCGATGTGACATTGAAGTAGCTGAATTAGAATTAGTCCCGAAATTTCCACCGGTAAGAATACAAATTGAGGCTGTTACAGTGAGCCCAATGTAATAAGGCAACACATTTGCAGGGCAGTATCTACTTAATTCATTTTGATGTAATTTCCAAACAACTAATGGGCACGAGAAAGAATATCAAATAATGGCAGCATATCCTATGTATTGCAATACTATAGTCTTGAGTTAATAATACACTCAAAAGTTAACTCCTGATATGATGAAGTTACTGCATAAATCTGATGCGAAAAAACTCTAGTTTCGGGCACACATTCATCTGCCATAGATTTTCGATACCGTTTCCACATGGGTGACACGACGATACGTGTGATATACAATGTTGTTTGGAGAGAAGTTGTGACTGTTTTTCATCGGCTACGGCCGTGTAAATGCCCATGTTGTGGATCAATTTCTGGAGCAATGGGGCAGAAAGCGAGTTATTGCGTGCAGTGACAATCCACACCTATCAGGTCTTGAAAACTAAAACTCCGCTGCAAGGAATTGGAAACATTTACTACGTCGATTGCTATGCTCTCGTTTCTCAGCTCTGTGTTCGATCCATTTTTGTTTTTTTATAATTTACCACGTCCTATGTTTATTATATTGTGTCTGACCTGCATCTCTTGATTGGTAGTAGAAGTAAAATAATGCGACCATGGTGTAATGGTTAACACACTCCGGCAGCATCATGATTACAGCACAGTTGTTCGACAGGTCATGTAGGGTTGGATAAAGGGTGAGGATTCCCACCTATTCCGAAATATTGGGCCAGTGTACGATGGAGTCGGCCAACATATCCTCCATCAAGGGCTCATGAGAACTCCCTCTGGTTTGAGGCCCTATCACCAGCAGTTGACTGAGCAAGCTATTGCAGGGCTGCACCATTAACCTTCCCAAGGAAAACTCTTTCGTCGCGGTAACGTCCGGAGAAAATCCACACTTTCGTCATGGCTCGTTCTCTCGTAGCCCCCGGGGGGCTTTCTCGCTCACCCCCCCCCACCCCCAACACTCCTCCTCCCTCTGTCTGCGCCGTTGCAGCGCGGTGTTCAATTTCTACCACTACTTCTACATGCTCACCAACACGCTCTACTACGTGAGCTCGGCAATCAACCCCGTGCTCTACAACCTGGTGTCGGCCGGCTTCCGCCACACGTTCGTGGCCACGCTCGGCTGCGGACGAGCCACGGAGCGTGAGCCGGGCACCATGCAGGTGTACACGCGCGCCGGCTCGAGCCAGTCGAGCGTTCACACCGTCACGTCCTCCAACCACGACTGCGCAGCGCCATGCTCGAATCTCGGGAGGGCTCGCGAAGCGCTCAGTTGAACGCTGCGCATGTGGGGGTGGTGGTGGTGGGGGTGGTGGTGGGGGTGGTGGGGGTTGTGGTGGGGGTGGTGGTGGGGGTGGTGGTGGTGGTGGGGGTGGTGGTGGTGGAACACTGCGCTGAGCCGACAAAAAATCGCACCGTCGTACACACCGTGTCGTGGACGAGAGAGGTGGGGGGCTGTTGAAAGCCTTTCAGAAGGAAGTTTAGACAAAAGAAATGTCGCCACCTCGGTGATTGAATTACGTCGGATTTAGTTGCTAATTTATACGCATATCGTTATCTATACGATCGTATGAAATACAATTGTATAGTTGGAAACTTCAAGCCGCAGCCGCCGCGTGGCGTTTCGCGGTCGTTCGATTTGGCTCTCCCAAGAGTTTTGGGGTTGCAGTGCGTGTTGCTCAGTTCCTGAATTAGCTGCGAGGGCGTGGAGCGAAACGCCGGACATCGTGTCGCAACAACGCGCGGTGTGACCCCAAAAATGCATCGGAGAACTTTAAATAAAGCACCCTTGGTGAATGATCACCCAATGAGCGATAAGGCTGAGAAAAGCCTTGGCTGTGGCTTTTTAGGCAGAAATATCACACTGTTTTCTGTCAGTAAATTGCTTATGAATATTTGTCATTTTAAGGTGGGGAAATGGCTAGAATGCTGTGTAAAGCGGCAGTCTGAACCTTTCTTATAAAAAGCGTATAATGTATTTATTCCAGTTAGATAAAACATTATATCATCCCACATTCTATAATTTCCTTACCGACACAATATTGTTGGGCAGGTTGTGTAGAGCCTTAATGTGGAACTATGGAAATTTTATACGTTAAATGTATTCAAGAATGTTAACCGCCCCACTGAAATCTGCAATTCGAAGATAACTTTAATAATTTCCTGAAATAATTCGCAAAAATATTGCATCCGGACAGCATATTGGATCTTTTTTTATTCATTTTATCTATTAATGATAATCATTGCTGTGGATAATCAGTTGAACTTTACATTTATTGCCATTCCAGTACAATAGTAATTCTCTTGGAAATCGTGCACATTCTCCCAGAATGTTATTTATAATTAATTCGTGATTTACCTAAACAGAATATTCGTGTTGGGCATACGTTAGAGGTAATATAGTCTAAATTGATATATTGATTTTTTTACATCCATAACTCTAATCTGTGAATGCGGTACATGCAGGTTAATTTCACAGTCATGCATTTAGACAATAGACATTCCTGCATTGATATAGTGAACAGATTTTAACATTAGATATATAACTGTGTAATAAAAACGGTGTCCCTCATGATATTGATTAACAGATCACTTACATTTCTCAGTAGAGACTTGCATATGACAAATCCACGTTGTGGATTTGCTCTCCAACACACCGGTGTGCTGTACTTGTAACGAATTGGCACGTTCTGTTTACGTGACAAACCTTACTAAATGGCTGTGTTGGGTGCTGGAGGGTTTAACGACACATTTATATTTACGCGATCTAACCCAAAAAACTGTATTATGTATGATATTGGTCGCGAAAGCCTACGTGTTAGATTGATTTTAACATCAAATAATTCCAATAAAATGTTCTGGGCAAAGTTTACTCATTACATTTGTATCTTCAGTGGGTCCTATACCACCTCATGGTCTAAAGGGTTTCTACCTTTCTGTGGATTAGGTTATTATAGTTGTATTGAGATTTAGATCTTACACACAACACTTCCAAATTGAAGTAGTGGATTATTACCCAGTCCAACGAGGCTGTTACCGACCTTGCGTGGCAATTATATTATTATTTCGAATAGCTCATTATGTCTTTATATATGTAAAACGGTGCATTGCCAATATTCATGGCATGCAAAATGTCACTCATGTTACCAACATTGGCATTATGTGCAAGTCTCTGTTGTCACTTCAAATGCTGCTTGATAATGTTGATCTGGAAGGCCAATAGACCGTATTTTTTGCATGGTTGCGTTTGCCCATCTTATCTCAAGACAACGCAGGGTGAGTTTGTGTATGGTCTTGCTTTTTCAATGTAATGGAGTCCCATATTTTACACGGAGTGCTCTTGCCATGACATCTGATCATCCAGCAGCATTTGTTTAACTGTCCTGACTCTGTTGTCCATCCCCCGCACCTCCGATTAGCAAAGTTGGCTACGTACGGTGCGAAATAACTTTAACCATACATATACACAAGGCCAGAGGGTCGAAACCAGTCCCGTTAATGATTGCTAAACAAATGCATCTTGATAATGATTATCAGCGAAACGTCGTACTCAAAATTTAAAATGCTGTTGATTCTCTCATCAACACACCGGTGGGTTAAAGAAGTCAATTAATTTGTCCTTTGAAAACGTGACACATGTTTTACTGTTTGGCCGTGTCGGGTGGTGGAGGGTAACGACACATTTATAAATAACGCGATCTGACCTAGAAACCTATATTATGAATAATATTGGTCGCGAAAGCCTGCCACGTGTTAAATTGAATGGAAAGCCAGTAGGCTGCTAAACTGAACATATTTTATATGCGGAGGAGAGACAGAATAGAGTGCTGCTTGTGTATACTTTTGGAGCTTAAGAGGAATATGTTATAATGCGTGTGAAATGTATGTTGTGTATGGTATCCAACCTGTACTGACCAGTTGTGGCAAGTATGGTCAAACAACCAGGATGGGAATGCCTTCGCCCAGCAGTGGATTCAAATTTGGATGTCAAGTCAGTTATACTCGTATCTATTATATGTAACTATCAATGTAATATTCAATGAGAATTAAATGTATAATGTCATTTGCGGTCGTTGTTTTTGGCTGCTATGCTTTATAAGCATTTGGGCCTGTGCTCAGAAACTGCGATTTACAAACTATATTAAAACAGCCGTCTTTTGTCACTAAGTAGCAGTGACATCATAAGGGCAGTAGTGCCTGACTATGTGCACTTATAGGTCATGCGTAGTGTCAATATGAGTGTAAGCGAGAGAGACGAGTAAATTGCAATTATGATTTCCCAGATAAAAAGAGGAACTTGAATTGAATATATATGTGAGCTCACAAAATGTACATTGAACTTGCAAACCGTATTTCAAGCCACTGATGAAAGAAATTATACCCAAGAATATTTATACAAAAAATGAAATTTATTTTAAAAAAAAACCTTCTTGGGGATGTTTCCGTAAGCCTTGTATAGGTGTTATTTCGACACGAATATGAAACCACATAAAAGCGTGCCTTTTCTCCCTGGTTGCCAAGTTACTGCCAATTCAAAAGCTTGTTTTTGGAAGAACAGATGTAAAGAACCCTGCCTCTGAGATATTTTAATGTTCTTTGCACAGTGAGGAATTTATTCTATTATTCCCGGCTTTAGTTTTTTTCGCACAATCAGCACAATCATTGTTTTGTTGCACCGGATTTTAGTTTGGGAACAAAATAATCATCCATGGTAAAGATGACCAATTTTGTCCACGGACAATGAACACAGGGGCAGCACACGCAGTGCCCACACTGATATACAAATATGTCAACACAATATACATTATTTTCGGAGCACGTCAAATTAACAATTGGAACTAAATATATATTTAATTTCTCTCACACCATTCCTCACAGTGAGGGGGGGGTAACGATGTGGGGAGGGCCGTCATCATTCAGCAGTGTTTTTTTTTACTTTTAAACGATGTCTTAGTGAATGATCAACAGTCGGCCACGTCTTTTTCTCGTGCAACAAAATTGCTTCTTGTAGAGATGTACGATGCTATATTACTTTTGTGAGAAAAAAAACATTCGAAATAATATTTGTGTTACTGTTGGTATGATTAGTTTGCTTGAGCATTACGGTACCTCGATGACTGTTTACAAAATATAGAGCATCGTGTTGTTAGTTGAAAATAGGCTTTAGGTGAAGCTAAATAATATTGCTATTTGTTGATGGATGTAACAATGACTGTAATTGTTATTTTATGAAGTGACTTAGTAACATCGCTGTATCACTGCAACGTATTAATGCACGCATTCGTTTTTGTTCGCATTGAGTCGTATTTTGTTCGAACGTAGGATTTCAATGTCAGACGCAACCCAAGGCTAACGACACAAAAAATATCGTAGTTATAGTCATAAATGTAACATAATGTGTGAGTCGTTACGAAATATGTATGGCGTTTGCAATTAAATGTGAAACTTGTAATGATGTGTGTATAACAATAAACATTGACGAACTGTCAACTGAAAGTAAGACCTATTGTCTCCTCTAGATGTATTTTATAATTGGGGACAATGCTACAGGACAAACTAATTCCAAACAGATGCATGATTAACGGCAATGAAAATGCATAACCGCAGAAAAAAACTTTTGGACTCAACAAAAAATGCTTAATAAGTGAAAAAAATACGGTAATTAATATTGCCGCAGAGCTCAAATGAGGCACCTCTGCCCACTGTAATTTAATGAAATTCAGGAATGAGTTTGCATGCTCCGCAGGCGCACAATGTGAGAGCGATTAGAGACCCCCCCCCCACCCTCTCGCGTGGAATGGACGTGCGTCGATGGATTTGCTAGAGGCAGACATGAGCAAAAAAAAAAGGGAACACTCGAATTCATAGTTAAATATTCACAAAACCTTACCACAAAGAGAACGTGCATGGCGGTTATTTTACAAAGATATTCATAGCACAAAGATATGAATATTTCATGCACACATTCACGAATATTATATATTTTTTTTCAATGACATTTTAATAACAATAACAAACCAAACATTTTCAGTCCTTCATAAATCCACAGTGCTGCTGGATAAGACTTGCTGACCATACGTCACCATGCCGGTTGGTTAGTGACCAGGTCTAAGTGCAGGAAAGTTTCTAATATCTGACCTTAGAGCCGTGGCCGGGAATTAAACGTGGATAGTCAGGCTCACAGCGCATCACCACTGCGCCACGGCTCCAGCCTACGATTAAATCATCCATCGTCTTCATCATCATCGTAATCGTCAGCCATGATTTATCTCACTCC